AAATATTTCAAATTGTATATAAAAACCAGCACATTGTACCCCATCATTGTATCAATGTACAATGATTTATTGTATGATTTAATTAAAAAAATTTAAAATAGCACATTGTACCCCATTATTGTATTAATGTACAATGATTAATGTATGATTTAATTTAAAAAAATTTAAAACAAGAAAATATGTAAATAAATCCAGATGACTCTTTAAAAAAGGAAAGAAAGAAAGAAAAAGAAAACAGAAAGAAGCAAGTCAGAAACCTAATAGGCCATCTTAACCAATTGGAAGAGAAAAATCAAACCAATCCCAAAAACAGCACAAGTAATGAAATAATAAAAATTATAGTAGAATATAATTAAATTGAAAACAAAAATGTCATTCAGATTAAGGAAACAAAAATTTGGTTATGTGAAAGGTTAATAAGATTGATAAACCTTTGGCTAGATTATCCAGAAACAAAAAAATAAAATCTCTAATGACTTCAATCAGAAACAATAAAGGAGAAATAACAACAGATACCTAGAAATTAAAAAAATCTTTAATGATTAGTATAAAAACTCTATTCTGAGAAATATGAAAATATGGAGGAAATGGACCAATACCTGGAAGCATATCATCTTCCTAGACTTAACCAGAAAAAAGTAGAAAATTTTTTTATTAAATCATAGCTGTGTACATTAATGCAGTCATGAGGTACAGTGCGCTGGTTTTATATACAATTTGAAATATTTTCACCAAACTGGTTAACAGCCTTCATGGCATTTCCTTAGTTATTGTGTTAAGACATTTATATTCTACATTTAGAAAGATTCATATGTACCCTTGTAAGATGAACCATAGGTGTGATCCTGCCAATCACCCTCTCTCCACCCAAACTCTCCCCCCTCATCCCCATATTCTTGGACTATAATTGGGCTATAGCTTTTGTATAAAAGCCATAGATTAGTTTCATAGTAGGGCTTAGTACATTGGATACTTTTTCTTCCAAATGCAAATCAAAACTACTTTGAGATATCATCTAACTCCAGTAAGATTAGCCCACATCACAAAATCCCACACCAGAGATGCTGGCATGGATGTAGAGAAAGAGGAACACTTCTACACTGCTGGTGGGAGTGCAAACTAATACATCCCTTTTGGAAAGATGTTTGGAGAACACTTAGAGAACTAAAATAGACCTGCCATTTGACTCTGCAATTCCTCTACTAGATATATATCCAGAAGATCAAAAATCACATTATAACAAAGATATCTGTACCAGAATGTTTATTGCAGGCCAATTCATAATTGCTAAATCATAGAAGAAGCCCAAGTGCCCATCAATCCATGAATGGATCAATAAATTGTGGTATATGTATACCATGGAATATTATGCAGCCTTAAAGAAAGATGGAGACTTTACCTCCTTCAAGTTTACATGGATGGAGCTGGAACATATTCTTCTTAGCAAAGTATCTCAAGAAGTAGAAATTTTGAATAGATCTATAGCAAGCACTAAAATTGATAACCTTTTGGCTAGATTAACTAGAAACAGAAAGTAAAATCTCGAATAATGTCAATCAGAAATGATAAAGGGGAAATAACTCATGCCACAGAGATACAAGAGATTATCTCTGAGCACTACAAGAAACTCTATGACCAGAAATTTGACAATGTGGAGGAAAAGGATTAATACCTGGGATCACATCCTCTTTCTGAATTTCATCAAGAAGAAATAGATCTCTTGAACAGATCAATTTTAAGAACTGAAATTGAAGAAACAATAAAAAATTTCCCAACAACAACAAAAAAATCCCTGGTGCAACTGGCTTCCCACTGGAATTCTATCACACCTTCAAAAAGAGCTTATTCCCATACTGCAGAAATTATTCCAAAAAATTGAGAAGGAAGGATTCTTCCCCAACACTTTCTAGAAGCAAACATTACCCTGCTACCAAAACCAGGAAAAGATCCAACTAAAAAGGATAACTTCAGACCAATTACACTAATGATTATAGATGCCAAAATTCCCAATAAAATCCTAGCCAATAGATTACAGCTACACACTAAAAAATTCATTAATCATGATCAAATGGTTTCATCCCGGGGTTATAAGGCTGATTTAACATACGCAAGTCCATAAACATATTGACCATATAAACAGAAGCAAAAAGAAAGTCCATATGATCCTCTCAATAGATTCAGAAAAAGCATTCAATAAAATTCAGCATCCGGTTCTAATTAGAATACTTAAGAGTATAGGCATAGGTGGCATACTTCTTAAACTGCTTGAAGACATGTATGACGAACCCACAGATAATATTATAGTTAATGGAGTAGAACTAAAAGCTTTTCCACTTAGAACTGGAACCAGACAAGGTTGTCCTCTATCACCACTACCATTTAACATGATGCTGAAAGTTCTAGCCAATACAATCCGGCAAGAGAAGGGAATAAAGGGCAGCCAAATAGGTGCAGAGGAGGACAAACTCTCACTCTTTGCTGATGATATAATCGTATACTTAGAGAATCCCAATGACTCAACCATGAGACTCCTGGAAGTGATCAAAAAATACAGCAATGTCTCAGAATATAAACCAATGTCAATAAATCAGTAGCCTTTGTATATGCCAATAACAGCCAAGACAAGAAGCTAATCAAAGGCACAATTCCTTTCACAGTAGTTTTTAAAAAATAAAATCCCTAGGAATATGAATAACAGAAGAGGTGAAGGACCTCTACAAAGAAAATTATGAAACCCTAAGAAAAGAAATAGCACAGGATATTAACAAATGGAAGAACATACCATGCTCATGGCTGGGAAGAATCAACATTGTCTATACTACCATAGTATAGTATACTATAACATGAAAATGTCTATACTACCCAAAGATCATACTTTCAAGGTTTGGAAAACACAATCCTTCATTTTGTATATAACCAGAAAAAAAAACATATAGCCAAGGCAATTCTTAGTAATCAAAACAAAGCTGGGGTATCACCATACCAGACTTTAGGCAAGGCCATAGTAGTCAAAACAGCATGGTATTGGCACAAAAACAAATACATAGAGATTTGGAAGTGAATAGAAAATAAGGAGATGAAATTAACCTCCTATAGCCACCTAATCTTTGATAAACCAAATGAGAACATATATAGGGGAAAAGAACATACACCATTAATAAATGGTGGTGGGAGAACTGGAAAATCACATGTAAAAGATGGAAACTGGACCCATACCTCTCACCACTTACAAAAATTGATTCAAGATGGATAAAAGATTTAAGTATAAGGCACAAAACCAATAAAAATCCTTGAAGAAAGTGTGGGGAAAACACTTGAAGATATCAACCTGAGGAAAGATTTTATGTAGAAGAGTTCTGTGGCAATTGCAACAACAACAAAAATAAACAAATGGGACTTAATTAAACTGAAAAGCTTCTGTACAGCTAAGGAAACAACAACCAAAACAGACAGCCTTCATAATGGGAAAAGATATTTGCATATTATGAATTGGACAAAAACTTGATAACTAGAATATATAGAGAACTCAGATTAATCTACAAAATCAGCCAACAATCCCTTATATCACTGGACAAGAGAGATGAATAGAACCTTCTCTGAAGAAGTCAGACAAACAGCTAACAAACGTATTTTTAAGATGCTCATTTAATTATCACAGAAATGCAAATCAAAATCACTCTGAGATTTCATCTAACTCCAGTAAGATTAGCCCACATCTGGCTCAGCGCCCACAGCACAGTGGTTATTGTGCCAGCCACATACACCGAGGGTGGTTGGTTCAAATCTGGCCCAGGTCAGCTAAACAACAATGACAACTGCAACAAAAAGTAGCTGGCATTGTGGTGGGCATCTATAGTCCCAGCTACTTGGGAGACTGACGCAAGAGAATCGCTTAAGCCCAAGAGTTTGAGGTTGCTGTGAGGTGTGATGCCACAGCAGTCTACCTAGGGTGACATAGTGAGACTCTGTCTCAACAACAACACAACAAAAACAAAAGATTAGCCCACATCAGAAAGTCCCAAAACTGCAAATGCTGGTGTAGATGTGGAGAGAGGGAAACACTTCTACACTCCTGGTGGGATTGCAAACTAATACTACGTTTATAGAAATAAGTATGGAGAAGTCTCAAAGAACTAAAAGTTGACCTTCCATTTGATCCTGTAACCCTATTACTAGATATCTACCCATAAGAATACAAATCATTTTACAGCAAAGACAATTGCTCCAGAATGCTTAATGTAGCTCAGTTCATAATTGCCAAGTGATGGACGCAACACAATGCCCATCAACTTGTGAATGGATCAACAAATTGTGGTATATGTATACCATGGAATACTATTCAGCCATAAAAAATATGGAGACTTTACATATTTTATGTTTACCTGGATGGAGGTAGAACACATTCTTCTTAGTAAAGTAGCTCAATAATGGGGGAGGGGAAGCATCCAATGTACTCAATATTAATATGAAACCAATATATAAACACAAACTCATATGAATGATAAAACATACATACAATCTAGCAAGGGGGAGGGAACTAGAGAGAGGGGTAAGAAGGAGGGTAGGGCGATTGGTGTGAGGAGGGAGGGCAGCTCACATAATGTGCACGACGCAAGGGTATGTTTCAAAATAACTAAGAGTAAATTTTAAATGTATAACAACAAAAAATAAGTAAAGTGAGGTGATGTATATGTTAATCAGTTTGATTTAAGCATTCCACATTTTATATCAAATCATCACATTGTACCCCATAAATGTATACAGTTATGATTTTAATTAGAAATCATAATAAATTAAAAATTAAGTTACAATCACTCAGAAAAATAAGAAACTGCATGAAAAAGCCAATATATGAATTTAATTAAAAATTAAATAAAAAATAAAAGAAGCCATTAAAAAACGAAAATCATTAAAAAAATTTCAAGATGTGCCATGTGTATCAAGTTTTCCACATATTATTTTTGTTTGTAAATAATCTTATCTGGTTCAATATTTTTTAGGTTTGGACGGAAGATCATGTGCAGATTGTCTCTCCTGCAGCTGGCCATCTCTGACACCTGTGTAGCCTTTGCCCCCACCTTTCTCATTTACTGCTTACTACGCTTTTTGGCAGGGTTCTGTGTTGTGAATATTACAGTAAACCTCTTTAGTATGGGTAAGCTACTAATTTGAGTCTTTTATTATCTACATGCCTTGAATTGACCTTGAAATTACCCTTTGTCTGAAATTACTATTACAATTTATGTTTTCTTCCAGTGTTAGAGTGGATAAGTCCCCAGGCACAATCTATGGCTGTAATGCTGCTATTGAGTTCCCTTAGTATTGGGCAGATGTTCCTAGGAGGAATGGCTTTTGCCATTCGAGATTGGCGCACACTGCAACTGACCATGTCTATACCCATGTTTGTCTTGTTCTTGTTCTCCAGGTAAGGACAATCTCCATTTTTTTTTTCTGCCTATAAAGGAAGCTATGGTGGGAACTGAGAGGAGGATCCTGACACTTGGAATCTGTTCACTCCCTGGGCTGGTCCTGACCCAGGGTCCCTATTAACTGCTATTATGGCATATGAGAAACAATGGATAAACTAGAATAACAAAGTATCTGGGAGGCTGGCACTTTGTAGTCATTGTTAGGTTTGGACCAAGTTACCAAAGTTACCAAGTTACTTTTCTTATTTCAAAAAATTACCACCTTGTCATGGAGCATGTATATTATTGATTTGACTTTAGAAATGCCATGTGTTATGAGACAGAGATGATTTGGGGATATTTGACATTGTGAGATTGGACAAAAGGAAAGGGCATAAAGTGGGCCAGAATCACAGAATAAAGCAGACTTCACTCACTGTCTGATGGGAAAGATCAAAAGTTGTGGATACAGGCTCACTAAAGGATGAACTTATAGGAGCAAACATTGTGAATCATCAGAGAAGCAACTGAAGGTACCCAATGAGGAGGAGAGAGAGGCAGGATGATAAACTCAGTAATATTGCAAGATAACTGGGGGAAGCATCGGCAGATAAGGAAAGGGTAGAGGAGAGATCTGGGGCTCCACACTTCCCAAGAAGATAGTGCAAGGCAAGCTTTGAGGGGATTCCCCCACCATAACAGGCTTCAGAACTGATCAGGGAGCTGCTTGGAGACTGCGCAGCAGCATTTCACCAGAAAATAGACATAGTGGAGTCCCAGCAATTCCTGGTCTCAGATACATTGTAATAGATGCTATACTGACCTCTCAGGACCAGGACACCCACTCTACAGAGGGGTCAGCTCAACTGCTACACCCTATACCCCAGCCAGGCCAGAGAGGGATCAGGGAAGGCCGGTGCTCTCATGTGCCCTGTGACTGAATGCTGTGAAACCTCTGAACTGCCCCACTAGTTTATGCCCAGTGACCTAGGCAGAGCAGGCATCCACTGACCCTCAGTATCTGCTGCTATAACCTTACCAAATTGACAGCACTGCTGCTACAACATTAGTAGCACGAGAGTAGCTGTCACAGGCCCACCTGTGTAGAGGGAGAGCCCCAGCCACTGCAACTCTCCAGCAGTACACAGCAAATCTCCCAGGCCTCACCCAGCCACCACAGTGCAAGAAGCCAATCCACAACTGGCCACTCTCCTCCAATCTGTACAGGCATGTTACAAGGTCCCTTGGCCTTTCCAGGTGCCTCCCAAGATCTTGCGAACCATATAGGCACCCACCAAGGTGCCATGACAATCCCCAGCTCTGGTGCAGTCCTGCGACAGACCCAGGCACTTGAGAATGTCCTGTGAATTACCTTGACACCAGATGTGGCCACAAAATGCACCCAGGAATCCTAGAAAGCTTCAAAAATGGCCCAGGTTTTTGTCAAGTTCCACCTACCCACCCAAATCCTGTATCTCAACTTGGCTGCCTGAAAAGGTCCCACAACACATGCAAGTGCCCCCAGGGACCCACCTAGGTACTGACTAAGGGTGGGTTGGGTCAACCAACACAGTCCTGCATCCAGCCCAGGCACCTGCCTAGGTCCCAAAATCCAAGCAAGAGCCTGTCAAGGTTCCAAGACAAGCACAGGCACTGGCCAAGGATCTTTAATATTAACAGACTCTAGTCAAGGTCCACTGACCTGCCCCATCATCAGCTGTGGTTGTATGAGGCATCCTGAAATCTGCTGTGTGCTCTACAAGGTCACAATGCTCACCTCCATGGGGAAGGATTTGCATATCCATGTTAAGGGTTTCTGACAGTAGCCTGGGGAAAAATGACACAAACTTAAATAAATATCCCCAGCACAGGCTTGTACTGCGACACACACACACAGGAAAGTGGGATGTGTGGCTTGGCGCCTGTAGCTTAGTGGCTGGGGCACCAGCCACATACATTGGAGCTGGCAGGTTTGAACCCAGCCTGGGCCTGCCAAACAACAGTGACAACCACAACAAAAAAATAGCTGGATGTTGTGGCAGGCGCCTATCGTCCCAACTACTTGGGAGGCTGAGGCAAGAGAATTGCTTGAGTCCAAGAGTTTGGGGTTGCTGTGAGCTGTGACACCACAGCACTCTACTATGGGTGACATAGTGAGACTCTATCTCAAATAAATAAATAAATAAATGAGAAAGAAAAAAAGGAAGAAAATGGGAAGTGGCAGGCAGGAGAGCAGCTGAATTATAGGATTTCAGTGCATCCCCTCCTCTTTCCCTGGGTAGGTCCTCCAAAGTAGGATACAAAAACTTTATCTAGGACTATTCCTCTTCTCATTAACTGTCAGAGTTCCCAATAAAGCTGAAAAGATGTACCCCAAACCTGCCAACCTTAACTTAAGAGAAAGATTTCAAATAATAAGCAACCAGCAAAAGAATCCAGGCAATATGGAAAACCAAGCAAGCTCAACATCCTCCAGCAACTAGTACAGATCCACAGCAATGGACCTAAAAGTAAAGAAAATTGTCAAAATGTCAGAAATGAAATTCATAATATGGATGGCAAACAAGAGAAATGGGATTAAAGGGAAAGTTTAAAACTAACACAAACCAAATAAATACTTCAGTACATTAATGAAAACTATGAAAACATGGTTAAAGAGACAGACAACATAAGAAAGAATATAATTGACTTTAAGGAACTGAGTCATTTAGTTATTAAAATATAAAAAAAATAGCATAAAGCTTCAAAAACAGGCTAGACCAAGGAGAAGAAAGAAAATCTCAAAGCTTGAAAACAAAAGAATTTGAACTAAACTGGTCAGTCAAACATGAAAAGAAATAGAACAAAACAAACAAAAAAACAAATAAACAAAAACCAAAGCGGAATTGACAATCACTAAGAACAACAAGAAACTGCATGAATGGCTTGGCACCTGTGGTTCAAGTGGCTAGGGGGCCAGCCACATACACCTGAGCTAGTGGGTTCAAATTCAGCCCAGGCCTGCCAAACAACAATGATGGCTGCAAACAAAAAATAGCCAGGCAGGGTGGTGCCTGTGGCTCAAAGGAGTAGAGCACTGGCCCCATATGCCAGAGGTGGTGGGTTCAAACCCAGTCCCAGACAAAAACTGAGAAAAATAATAATAATAATAGCCAGGCATTGTGGTGGGTGCCTATAGTCCCAGCTACTTTGGAGGCAGAGGCAGGAGACTCGCTTGAGCCCAGGAGCTGGAGGTTGCTGTGGCTATGATGCCACAGCACTCTACCCAGGGAGACAGCTTGAAGCTCTGTCTCAAAAAAGAAAAAGAAAAGAAACTACATGAAAAAAGCCAATATATGAATTTAGGTAGTATAGAGGGATAAGAAGGAAAAGCAAAGAAAACCTATTCAAGGAAATGATTTAGAAGACTATCCCTGGTGTTGCCAGAGAATAAGATATGCAGATAGAATATGCTCATCAAACTCTGGGAAGGTCCATAGCAAATAGGATATCTTGAAGACACATAGATATCAACCTTGACAAAGTCAAATTGAGGGAGAAAATTCTATAAGCTGCAAGGTCAAAGCAACAACTAATACTCAAAGGGAAACCCATCTAATTTAGGTCTTAGATTTGGTCTTTTGTGCAATTTTAATTAATTCTGTGTATGGTATTGGACAAGGTCCACCTTCACTTTTTGCATGTATATATTCAACTTTCCCAGCACTATTTGTTGAAAAAGACTATTTAGCCCATTAATACTCTCAGCAAAAATCTTTTAGTTATGTATATTAGGAATTATTTCAGGCCTCTCCATTCTATTCTATTGGTAGTACCACATTGTACTGATACTGTAGCTTTGTTAGAAGTTTTGAATTTAGGAAGTGTGAGTCCTCCACCACTGTTTTTTGAAAGATTGTTTTGGTTATTTGGGGTCTCATGAGATTTCATGTGAATTTTATGATGGGTGCTTCAGAAAAGAAAGTCATTGAAATTTTCATAGGTATTGCCTGTGTAGATTGCTTTGAATAGAATTGTCATCTTAATATTAAGATATCAATATTAAATCTCTCAATCTAAAAATGTAAAATATATTTATATATTTTTCTTCTTTGATTTCTTCTAGTGGTGTTTTATAACTTTAATTCTACATGTGTACAAACTCCTTAAGATAATACAAATCCTGCACCTGGTGTGCCCAGATCTGCTTGCTAGTGCTGTGTGCATCCTGTGGGCAGTGGTGGAGGGTTCCTCCACTCTGGGCATGCCCAGAACTGCTTGCTAGAGCCATGCACACCCCACAGGCAGCAGCAGAAGAGTCCCCAGCTCTGGGCGGGCCCAGAATTGCTTGCTAGGGCTGCACACAATACGCAGATGGCGGTAGAGGAGTCCCCAGCTCCAGCCAGGCCCAGAACTGTTTGCTAGAGCCATGTGTGTGGCACGGGCAGTGGAGGAGCTCTCCACTCCAGCCTCCTGCATGGGTGGTCCCAGATCTGCTTGCTAATGCCATGCATACCGCAGGCCGAGGCAGAGGAGTTCCCCGTTCCAGGCACCTGTTCTGGGTAGGCCCAGAACTGCTTGCTAAAGCCATGTACGCCCTGCAGGGCGACAGAGGAGTCCCCCACTCTGGGTGGGCTCAGAACTGCTTGTTAGAGCCCCATGTGACCCGCGGGCAGTGGTGGAGGAATCCCCAGCTCCAGGCAGGTACAGAACTGCTTGATGGAGCTGTGGCCATCCCCCAGGTGGTGGCAGAGGAGTTCCCTGCTCCAGGCACCTGCAAGGGGGATGGGGGGTGCCCAGAACTGCCAGAGCTGTATGTTCCCAGCATCCCTGGCCAGCTGCCCAAGAACTACGAGAGGACGGTCAGCTGAGAGGGAACCATACTAGAACAGCAGTACCCCAAGGTGAAGAGCAGTAGCCATAGCAGTGGGAATAATAAGGCCCACACCCCCGAGGCTCTTCTGGACAGACATGCTCTGCATCTCAGGGTAACCAGAGGAAGCTGGCATCTTCTCCAGTGGAGGCCACTGACTGAACA